AAAACCAAACCCCAAACCAACAACATAGCAAGTTGCTTCAGTAATTTTGCGTTGGTGATCTGTAGTAATGGCCTTATCTATCTTCACTGTAGTTCTGCATGAACATTATTTTGTTATGTTGGCTGGTTTCATGAATTGCTTTCTTTAGGGTTTATTATGATAGGCTCCCACTAAATATAACTTACGTAGAATTCTTATAATCACAATTTCAATGCTAATTCTCCTGCAATAGAAGAAATTTCAACTGCCACATGAGGAGCTGCCTCAGCCTGTTGCTCCACTGCCTTTTGTCAGTGTCATTGTTTTGGAATTGTGAAAAAACACCTTGTCCCTTCCCACTTACTCTGACATTTAAGTAGGCAGTGACTGTTCATGTAAAAAACGAATCTGGGGGGCAGGAATTTCCTGAATGATGGTACCAGAAACCAAATTTTTGTTGTTGTTGTTATTGTTTTCCTATATCCTGGAAAGTAGACTGCTGTGAGAGCAGCAACATGAGCAGGAGGAAATTTTCAGTGGGATCACTCAGAGTTTTTCTCTATCAGAAGCTCATTGTGTATTTGGACTCCCACCTATCCGCAGTATCTTTTCAAGGGGTCTCGGTTAGTATCTTGGATATCTAGATGTATTTCTACCAGTACAGAAATTTTCCGAAACTTTGTAACAGTCTTCAACTTTCTAGATAAAATGAATGAAATACTTTACTAATGGTAAAATCCCTCTGCCCTTGTACTACCTGTCTCTTTCCTCCTCCTTCCTCCGTACTAAACCTGCCTCTTCATGGAAGATGCGTGAGAGATCATTGGAGAGAAAAGGAATGGCTCCTCTTCAGGCAAGCAGTAAAACACAAATACCAAACCACAAACCAAAACATGAATTGCTGAGCAGAAGCCCCTTTCTGCGGTTGAAGCTCTGACTTTGGAGTCATGCTTTGTTAGCACCTTGAGGCGTGCCTGTATCTCAGGACAGCGTATCCCTGCGTTGCGTGGTACCGCTTACGTTGTTTCACAAAGACTGGGAATAGCAGTGATCTTTCCCAAAGGCCCTCTTGTTTGAAGCAATAAAAGCTTTTTCCCCTTTGGAAAATTAAATAGCCAGGAAGCTCACAGTATGCGGAATAACTTCTAGCGATATTATTCTAACACTGAAAGGAAACAAAGAAGGGGCATTATACATATTATTTTATTAGCTACCAGGGAAAAGGTTGTCTTTAAAAATATATATGCCTTTTGCATATGCTTTGTGACAGACATACAGCCTGAAGACTGGCATGTGACAAGGGGAAATCAATAAAAAATGCATAATGATGATATAAATATTTATAGAATAGCTAGATGAGTATAATATGACAGGGAGAAGCCAGGAAGGCTTTTAGAATAGCAAATGTGTGCTCTAAAATATATTGGAATTCTTCTGAGTGAGTTAAAATGGGGTAAAAAGGCATTGCATAGGCCGTCAGAGACATTCACAACACCTTTGACTAAAGTCCTTTCTAAGGAACCATGAGAAAAGCTTTGTCAAAGAAGTGCAGCTAAATAAAAGTTGGAAAGCAGACAAGGGAAAAAGTTTTCAGAAAGGATGAGGTTATTCACTGGTGGTCCCGGTGGGACTTGTAGGGATTGTTGATTGATTTGCAGCCTAGGAAAGTAAGGAAATGGTTCTCTGTGTTTCCAGCAGGACTAAAATGATCCAGCTTTATCCAAAGACCAGGAATTTTCCAAGTCTGCTAAAAGATATTTTTTTTAGCTAGATTTTTGCATATAACTGGCTGTTGATGTAGTTGTGCATCTGTTAATACGTATGTCTGTAAGCTATACCTGTAAGACTGCAAGGTTTATAAGCAGCAAATAGGAAAACAAGTGGATAAGACTGGAGGTGAACAAATTTAGTTCCCTAAATGCAAGGAAAAATTTCCTAAAGTCATCCTTCTGTCCTCTTGTCCTGTAGAAATTAGGCCTTACTGTGTGGCTGATTCCTCTACGGGAGGACTTACATTGTGGGATTTGACTCCATTCATTCTCTGTGTTGATGTAAACATCAAGAATAAGCTGGAGGTTTTGTATGGAGGAATTTATTCTTTTCTGCTTGTGCTGCAGATGGCTGAATTTGCTCAGTCTGCAAAAGCTGCAGGAAAAGTACATAATGAAAGAGAAAATTATACTAAAAATGGAAGAAACTACGCAAGAGACCAACTTGTTCTAACAAAAGGCCAACAAAAGCTTCTTCAGTGGAGATACCCGTATTTGGGGACAGGTTATTTTCGCTGCTGAATTCTTGCTTACAGAATTCTCTTTCCCGTTAGTCCAAACAGAGCACAATTTTGTTAATGATTGGGTCAGGGTGCTAATTATCTTTGTGAAAAATGGATGGGCAGACAGTCCAGGAGATAGATGCTTCCTAATTTGTTAAGGGCTTTTAAAGATAAATGGCCTTGAAGTAGATTTGTTTTCAAATGAATAGCCAGTAGAGTGCTTGGAGCAGTGGCACAGTGAGCTCTCATCAGTTTTTCTGAGTGATGGATGTTGCATATTCTGTCCGTTGACGTGGTCTTTGCCATCAGAAGTCCCAATTTATTAATAGTTTTTAGGGCAATGGTTGTAAATTATTGCAGCCCAATTTTATTACTCTTTTACATCTACCAAGGACTGAGCCCTTTGTGCAGCTTTATATTAACTCAGAGAGCACCATTAAAATGTTGACATTTAGGCTCATCTTGGTAGCATTAATCATAGCATTTTATCATTCATTAATTGCAGTGGTTTGAAATGACTGGAACGTTCACTTTTGTAAAAGCAGGAGAAACAATAATTTCCGTTTCTCCACTTTTTCAAGCCATAACTATGCTTAAAAAAACAAACAAAAAAAACTCCAAAAAGCAATGCAAAACACAAAAAACATCTCCTAATTGTGTGTGCTGGGGGCATCTACCTCTTTGCAACAACTGAACAAGTAAGAGCCAGCAGCTCTTACAAGCCTCACTTGGAAGCTCTTGGAAGTGCCATCTCTGAAAATCAGCCTCTGAAGTCTCAGTGTGGACACTTGGCTTCAAAAACATATCTTAATATATAACAAGAGTCCTCCTGATGTGCAAAAAAAGCTAAAAATCTACTGCGTTTTCATATTCTGATATTACTTAAGGGTTTAAAACAGACACAGAAATGCCTTTCGTGATTCACCAGCAGGAATAGTTTTACAGCACCCGGGTCTATTTGTATTATTGTATCAGTAAAAGAACCTGTGATGTTTGCTGGCTTTCTTCAGTGGAGGGCACCACTAGATGATTATGTTTAATATAAGGAGTTGGCAGCCTTTCCCACTTAACCATCATTAGGAGATCTGCTGCTGAGGTCCCATTTTGTGAGGCAGCTGGAAATTGGCACTTAGTTTAAATGTATTGTTTTCTGCTTTCTCTTAAAGTTCAAGGACAAGGCAAAACTGTTCAGACTACGCAAAGAAAAAGGTTTTTCTCGCTTTCCTTTGTTTACTTGGTCCTCTGACCTCTCCATTCTTTTCCAAATAGATTTATTCCATAAGAAAATTTATTCCCCTATATATACATGAATTACATAGAAGTGTGGACCATGTCAGCAAAGATGGAGGGGGAAGACATGAGGGAAGGTATTTGAAAGCACTATGCAGAAGATAGCTGTGATAAACATGTAGACTTTTTACTGGAGTAAAAATTATCCAGTTCTTCAAGTAGTGTTTCTTTTGATACTTACAAAGGAGGACAATACTGTTATTTCTGGTTTAGGGAACTGAGGCATAGAATGGGTCAGTGGAGAAACTCTAAATCACTCAAAAGGCGAGATGCAGAATAGTGGTGTCCCAGCTTCCTAACCCTCACTTTGTGCTCCCAACCATGCATTTCATTTGTTATTTTAAAGATTGGCCCCTCCCTATTCCTGCCCCAAGATGTTCCTGCACCTTCAGGACTTTCACCACCTGTATTTTCCCTAGTAACATCATATGGTTTAAGCCACTGCTTCACCTGTAGCCTTCTGCTTCCTGCTATACTGGATCTGCTTAAAAGCCCAAAAGACTTTCTAGTGATAGAGGTTTTCTATTTTCAATTACCGTGGCTTCACGTGACCAAGTAATACTTCATTAACCCAACTGCGTAAGGATATCAAGCTCCAGGGAAAACTTGTATTCCTATATGATCGGCAAGATAATTAGGAAGTGAAATAATGCAAATCCCACTACGGGCAGCTGTCTTAAGATTTACGTATTTACTCTTTGAAAGCAAAGTGTGTCATATCATAAATCCTTTTATTTTAAAGGATATGTCACAATGGACATATCGCTGGGGCAGGAGGCTTTAGGAGCTCAATCAAGTTGGATCAGTTCAGGTTGCTGGTAAATCCACTGAGATTTTTAGTCTGCAGTATCACCTAGATAACACAGGCTGAAGTTTGCTTTTGCTTTTACTAGCTTTTTTAAGCTCCTTGGGTGTGGCCTTTCATTCTGTATTTGTAAAGTATCTACCAGAGTGGATCCACCACAATTAGAGCTTCTACGTGATACGAAAACGTAGGCACAGAAGCCGCTAATGGCAGCAACAGTTCTGCATCCACCAGGAGAGTGGAATATTGGACCTAGATTAGAGACAGCTTCATATGGAGTCAGCTACAGCCTTCCCTGTTAATAGAGGCCAGGGCGAAGCTCATATCAGTAAATGCTGCATCCAAGCGGCAGCAGCAAGCGGGAGATTAAACAAGAGAGCTGTATAGATGTGGGGTCCTGTTGAGGATGGCCTTCAGTGGGTAAAAGTCACTTATAAATTAAAAGTTCAGCAAAACCCTACCAAGTAAAAGGTTTCTAATGGAGTTCTGGCAGCTTCTCTATCTGAAAATGATGAAACCTAAGAAGCAAGGAAATTAGTAGTGTTGCTCTGAGGTGGTTGGACTAAAATTAGTATGGCAAAAGCAAAATAAAAAAGGGGGAAAAAAAATCAATATTCTTGCTAATAGGAATCAACATTTATCTTACAGGAAACCTGAAGTTTTGCCTTCTGATTCTGAACCAGCCTTTCAACAAAGGTCATTTTCATTGTCTGTGGAGCAAAGGTAATAATAACTTACATACATCTTCTTTTGCTTATTTACTTAGCTGCTACCCAGCTAATGTACTTCATGTCTGTTGAATGGCAATGTGGCAATTTCCTCTTAACTAGAGCAACCTTCTGGTGAGGGTGTGAATCGGCAGAATATGTCCCTTGTTGCTGAATGCAGCAAATGAGCTGATTATGCAAATTCTGCATCTCTGCATTGCTTACGTCAGTGGGAACTTTATGGACTGATCTGTGTAAGACACTAGCTTTTCAGAGGCATCTTAGGAATGATCGTTGTTTTGCTGACAAAGTGTAGTAGATCAATGGTGCATTTAAGAATCTGGAAGGGAGCATTCCTTTAAAGGTCATCAGTGAAATGTGTTAATTTTAATCAAAATAAAATGAACCGTGTAGCTATTATGTTGTGAAAGCGGTGGGAATTTGCGTGCGTGTCAGAAATATGCAAATCAGATTTCCCTACCCCTTTGTTTAATATGCACAGTGCTAATCATCATCTCTGGTATGATAGCTGCAGATTTACTGACATTTTGTGGAGATGTGTAAATCTTTACAAGCTTGGAGCTATTAATTCCTCCGGTGCAGAAATGTAGGCTTTCAGAAGCTTTCTTGCAAACCACAGGAACTGTCTCTAACTTGTTACCAGGCTGGGAACCTTGCCGAGAGATTCCTCTGAACTGACTGGGGCAGAAAGAGCTATTTGATTTCACCATAGGCATAAGGGCTGGCAAGGGGTAGCTGTGTGGTTAAAAGGAATTGGAGTAAGGGATGAAGTAGGCAGGATGTATTCATAGCACTTAATTCCAGTAAACCTAAAGTAGGTGCCTATATAGGCAGAGGAGTGAGAAAAGAAGGGAGAGACTTGCACAGGATGATTCAAAGCATCTGAACGAGTACTGTACCCCAAATGGGCTCTCCTTCACTGGCAACATCAGCAAGAAATGGCAGCAAGAAGTGCTCAGTGGAAGGGCTGTCAAGTGTATTTTCTACATGTCATTCTACATATGTTTTGGCTTAAAAAGATACACTGAAAGACATATTCTGTATTAAGTAACGAAGGGCAGAAGGGTAAGTATTTTGATCTTATTTCTTTGTCCCGCCTTTCCTGTGTTTTTGAGGATTGAGGTTAAAAAAGAGGCAGCAAGCCAGACGTGCACAGTTACTGAATGGCAGTAGTTAGCATCTTGTAGTACCTGGCATGTGTTGCTTTATGCTGTCTTCTGTTCATCGGGGTTGTTTTTTGTCTATTGTTTGGAATTTGAATTCTTCTTCTTGCAATCAAACCTGTGCAGGGTGACCCTTGGGGCATGGAGCACTTCTTACTCTACCACTAATGGGCCCTTAACTCGAGTGCTTCAGTGAAGGGTTGGGATAAGAAGCTGAATAAAATCAAGTAGACCACAGACTGTCTTGCTTGAGACTACCTCAGTGGGTTCCTGTCCTCTGAGCGTAACTGCGTTGAAAGTAATTACTGGTGCTGTGAATAGTTTTTCAAAGAGTCTATGAGAGTTAGGAGCAGAAGTCCTATTTAAGCTAATAAGACTTCTTGCTGGTAGGTTACTTCCAAAAATAGGTGGATATTTTCTGTCTAAGTAAAATGACAGAGGAGGGTGGTGACATAGTGAATGTGAAATGCTTTTCTTCAGAACATCTCAGCTTCAGTAAACCTCGGTGAATCCAGGACAAGGTTTTGGCAACACCTGACCGACAGTCCTAGTGGTGGACTACTGTAGATGTCAGCACTCTTGTGCCTCCTGGATCCTGCTTGTGAAGGAGTCTCAGCAGAGAGACTGTTGCAGGACTAGGAGAACCTGGGGTTTTGGTATGTGAACTGAAAGAAGTTCTGAAAGAATGAAATATCCTTAGAAACAGTGCTTGATGACCAGCTGTATATGCTTGAGATCTCATAAAGAAGTGATGAGAAGGAAGCAATGGGGCTGTTGATCCACAGAATATTACCAGCTACACAAATTGGGGGAAAAAGGGAGAGAAAAATGCAGAGGAGAAAAAAAAAGATAAAATATTGACCGACTTCTCGTAAGTTACAGCAATCTTGGGTGTTATACCGAGTACAGAATGCTGAGACGTAAGTGTTATTTTCAAGTAGGTTGTGTCCTATCAAAATCACTTGTTTCATTAGCCCTGTCACTTTAGCATCAAGTAGAAATGAAGGTGTGATGTGATATGTCCTGTGTTTAAAAAAAAAAAAAATAAAAAATCACATCAATAAGTGTGGCTATTCTAGGCTAAAATCATCCCAGGTGTAACTCCTCTTGACCTCAAGAAAAAGTGGTTGCAGCTAATTAGCCTTTGTCTTATTACAGACTTGTATGAAATCTATTTTTACTGACATACTTTGAAAAGAACTATTTCAGTCTGTACAAGTTTGCGTTAACTTCCTTCCCTGTGCTTTGTGAAGGACACTGAAATCTGATTTCTTCACTTCCAGGGGACAGGTTTTACCACTCTTACCATACAAGCTGGATAAGTGACCATAGTGAGGTAGTATAAGCTAAAGACTACCTGATTTTAGTCTGTTATATTCATTGCTCTAGTAAAGCAATCTAGAACATGTTCCCTTTGTGTTAGGTACATTCATACAGTATTAGTGCTGTCCTAAAGGTAGGAGGGATGAAATGCTGGAGAAGCAATAGTTTGCAAAAGCAGGATGAAGAATAATATGGCAGAAAACACTGGTAGTTCACCGAAGGATTTATTCGGTTGGGTAAAGTGGGGAGGGGACAAACCAAATGGCAAGAGAAATTGAAGACAATAGATCAGTAAAGGGGAATAGGTAAGGGAAAAAGGTCTCACAGTAAGTGAAACTGATATAAGGAGACTGAATATGGGAAGGAGAGGTGGATGCAGAGGGTTGGGAATAGACTCTGAGAAAGCGCAAGGCTGGGAGCATCAGTCAAATCCATCAAAAGCGCTTTGACTGTAGCTGTTAATGCAGCCATTTTTACCAGTAGAGGTTGTATACTGTGTCCTGGTTTCCCCTGGGATAGAGTTAATTTTCTTCTTAGTAGCTGGTATAGTGCTGTGTTTTGGGTTTAGGATGAGAATAATGTTGATAACACACTGATGTTTTGTTTCTTGCCAAGTAGTGCTAAGCTGTTGCTAAATAGTTGCTAAGTAGTGCTTACACTGGTCAAGACTTTTCAGCTTCCCACGCTCTGCCAGGTGCACAAGAAGCTGGGAGGGGGCACAGCCAGGACGGCTGACCCAGACTGGCCAAAGGGCTGTTCCATAGCGTATGACGTCACGCTCAGTATAGAAACTGGGGGAAGAAAGAAGGAAGTAGGGGATGTTCAGAGTGATGGCGTTTGTCTTCCCAAGTAACCGTTACGCGTGATGGAGCCCTGCTTTCCTGGGGATGGCTGAACACCCGCCTGCCCATGGGAAGTAGTGAATGAATCCCTTGTTTGGCTTTGTTTGGTGCACAGCTTTCGCTTTACCTATTTTACTGTTATAATTTATTTTACTTCAATTATTAAACTGTTCTTATCTCAACCCATGAGTTTTCTGCCTTTTACCCTTCCATTCCCTCCCCCATCCCACCGGGGGGGGGAGTGAATGAGCAGCTGTGTGGGACTTGGTAGCTGGCTGGGGTTAACCGCGACGTACAGCTTCCCTTGCAGTCCTTATCCTAATTGTGGAAAATATGTGGAAGAAACAGGGCCCTTTTTCTCTGAGCTGCACGTTTTTGTGTCTGGCAGGTTCCTGTAAGGAAGACTGCATCCAGTGGAGCCTTACCTTAACAACCCTGTCACACATCCTAAATTCCTGCTTGTATTTCAGCGATGGTTCTAGCTCCTGGTTTGAATCCTGTTTAACAAAAAAATTGGTAGGGAAAAAATCCAGTTTACATTAGTCTCTAGGGCTACTTTGCAAGTGGTTTCAAATGTAAATATATCTTTAGCAGAAATGACTGCGAGTTGAAAGTCTGAAGCTGTCTCTACATTAAGTTTGAAAAGTATGGAGGCCCACGTTTTAGTGACTGAAAACAGAAGGGGCTTTCTGGAGAGTAAACGGAAATTCCTGAGATTTTGATTCTGCTCTTTAAAATCTCTTTAATCAGAAATTCAGTGACTTATTTATGCCAAGAATTTCAGCAATGTCTAGTGATCGCAAGTGCTTCTGTTTTTTTGATGTCTCCCTAGTGAAGGATCAGGAAAGGGGCAGAATTATTGCAGCGCTAAGAAATCACCTCTGGAAAATTGTCCCAAGTTCAGGATCTGAAAACTGTTTCTTGTTTCTGAAAACATTGCCCCTACAAGCTATACTGTGCAAATGATCCAAAATTGTCTTCATGTCCTCGCTTGATGGTAGCATGCTAAATGGCTGTGCATTGTAAAGTACTTTCCATTCTTAAATGTTGACAATGACAGCTGTAAAGTGCAAGAAGCTATGGTCTGAAAAATAAGATTATTATTTCAAGAATCAGAGTAAAATGGCAACATTCTACAGCAATTTGATGAAGTTCCCATCAGTGCTGTATTTCTGGGAATGGTATGTTTGTTGTTAAATAGCATCTTCAGATTTACTTGTGGAGAAAGACATATCACAGTAGTTTTTTTTCCTTAGGTTCCACTTAACCTTTGGCTGGGTGTTGTTATATCCATGGATTTACTGATAAATGCAGTTGCAGAATTACAATATTGGTTAATGCAGTCCTTCCTGGCTGAAGAGGAAGACTATTACACTTGTGCTTTCTGGTAAGAAAACATGTCCATGGGTATTTTTCAGTTCTTACAGTGGTTGTGATACATTAGCCACTGTGCCTTCCTCAAAAGGATTGTGATCTTTTTCCACAAATAAGGAGTTTCTGTGAAGGCTTTTAATCAAACAGAACATGTTGAACTACTTTAAATATTAGCCATTCATACTACAATATGTCCTTGGCTGATGTACTAGAATAAACTACCAATATTCTTTTGAAATGGGCTGACTGAATCCTGACTTGTGGGACGGGTATTTAATGTTGGACAAGCAGAT